GATTTACTCGTACTCATGGATCCGTTTCACTCTCAGGTGCATACACTAAAGTGTTACATTTCGTATTATCCTTGTTCCATCGTGTTTATACGTTCGAAGATTTCGGACCCAAGTTTCTCCACTATAATGCAGAACGATATCCCTGTTATTGCTAACGTTCCCATCCAACGCAGGTTGATTATCAGCATGCGGGCTCGTCCATACCCGCAAACATCAACAACAAGGAAGGCTCCCGAATAAATGTACGATGGAATCCGACGATACTAAAGGTGTTCATCGCCTCCTGCGAAACAACCATGGTGCTTCACCAAACACAGGTGGGAGCGAGTTATTTCTTTGTTCAACACCACATCCGGGCGCAAATGGAGTAAGCAGCTGTTGCGAAACAAATGGGACTCCATGAGGCGGGACTACCAACGAGTAAGGGAGTTGCTTAATTGCACTGAGGTTGAGTTTAATTCAATAACCGGACACATTTGCGCTGATAAGGAATGGTGGTGTCGAAAAATAAAGGTCTCTCGTCATCTTCTTCAACTTGTACTCTGTTTGACATAGTGCTTATATTTATCTCAACCGTTGACGTAGGAAAATAACTACAAAGACTACAAGGACAAAGACGTAAGTGATATCTACATTCGATACCAACAGTTGTTCAGAGACACATTTGATAGTGAAAAATATGTAGTCACACCGATGAAGCTATGTAGAACAAGGTTTGACTTGTTTGATGACAGCGATATGGAAGACTTTCGAGATGCGATCCTTGTAGATGTAGAGAGTAGCGGCTCAAGCGACGAGGCAGAAGACGCGAAAGGTAAATCGAGCATGGCCATTTCTGGTGATCGTAGCAGGGGGTAACGTAAGTCCGAGTTGGGCAACCAGAAAGGGAAGAAGAAATTAACAAGTCTTGATGAATTGTCATACTCTGTCAACCGTTCTAGCAGCGCCGTCGAGTTAGTATCCACGAAGATCAATGATATTATCAGTCCGGCTAAGAACGACTTAAAAGCATGTCTTGATGAGTTGTTAGCGATTGGCCGACTCCAACGAAAAACAGAGATGTTTCACTACGCGTGCAAGCTTATATCGCGTAAGAATACCAGGGACGTGCTCGAAGTTATGATGGATGCTGATGAGAAGATGGATTGGATTGAGTGGGTTTTCGCTGACCACCAAAAGGGTCAGAGTGAAATCCGGAGGTTGTCTGTTCAGTTTCATTTCTTATATGTATATGCTTTGTTTCAGTCTCTCCCGTGTACCCATACGTTGGATTAATTTCAGTTCGTCATGGTTTGCACTTAGTTATTTGCTTATTTTTTTCATTTGGTGTTTGTCATCTAGATACACTTATTTCATATATAACTCATTTAAGGCCAACGGAACCCCCATGCCCATGAGATTTTTTCAACTTATTTGTGGCAGGCTTTTGAAATAAAAATACTGCAATAGAGTCGCTATGAAATTTGTGTAAAGCCCTTTATTTACTTTAATGAATGCAGTGTAGTTTAACTTGAACAGGTCATCCATTGAATTCCTCTCTTAAATGCTAAACCTACCTTCATTTGTTCATACAAATACTACAAAGGCAGCCCTTAAGTGGAGTGCTTGCTCTCTGGAGCTGTAGTAGTGTTGTGAACATTTCTTTTTAAGCAGAAAATATTGCAATGGAGGACTTGGACTTCGATTGCCGCCTAATCTTGGAGTCGGATTCTGAGGATAAAGTCAAAGAGGAGGACTACTTGACAGAGTTAACAGCGGATATAACAGAGTGGCTACGATATTGCAAACTAGCCGACGAGGAACTACTATGACGCACAACGTCGACGTATTCGTAGATATCCTTTTGCTAGGAACGATCATATGCTTATGTTGGAGGCAATGCAAGAAAATGGGCAACTCTGCTACCAAGAGTTCCAAATGTACCCAGCAATATTGAGACATTTTACACATTCTTCGAGATGATTACGGACTGAGGAGCAGTCGACACGTGGATGTGTACGAACGGGTTGGTATGTTTTTGTGCATATTAGCCCATGGGAAAGGGTACAGATAGGTCCAGACATTATTTAATCATTCTTTAAAAACGGTATGCTACTACTTCAAAGAAGTGTTACGAGTAGTCGTTGCACTCTCAACAAATACAATCAAACCGCACCCAAACTACAACGCAGGGGCAGAGCATCATGTCCCTGATATGAGGAAGCATACGTTATTCTATAATTGTATCGGTGCGATAGACGGAACGCACATTAGAGTTGTGCTGCCTCGCCACGAACGAGTCAACTTCATTGGCCGAAAAGGTATTCCAACACAGAACGTACTTGCAGCATGCGATTTCAATTTATGCTTCACGTTCGTGCTTGCGGGCACTGCTGGAAATGTGCACGATGCGCGTATTCTTAATCGTGCAATCTACAATCCAGAAATTCATTTTCCATTTACCCGCTCCAAGGAAGTATTATTTGGTGGACTCTAGTTTCGTACATCGACCTAGATACATGGCACCGTACAGTGATCGCACCATGGACGACCCATTTGTTGTCATGGGCTAGGTCCAAATTTTTTTGTACCTCTAGGTATCTGGGCTCCCAAATTAGGCCCATTTGACTTTGGCCCATTAAATGGGTTCCTTTTAAAATTTGCAATTGACACATTTAGCCCAAATCCATCTGACCCGTTCGGCCCAAAGGAATTAGAAGAAAGGGCTGAACCCTCCAAAGGAATAGCAGGCCCAATTTCATTCTTCAGCATAATCTGCCTGCGACTTTCCTCGCGTCTGATCTTATGTTGGAGGCAATGCAAGAAAATGGGCAACTCTGCTACCAAGAGTTCCAAATGTACCCCGCAATATTGAGACGTTTTACACATTCTTCGAGATGATTACGGACTGAGGAGCAGTCGACACGTGGATGTGTACGAACGGGTTGGTATGTTTTTGTACATATTAGCACATGGGAAAGGGTACAGATAGGTCCAGACATTATTTAATCATTCTTTACAAACGGTATCTTACTACTTCAAAGAAGTGTTACGAGTAGTCGTTGCACTCTCAGCAAATACAATCAAACCGCACCCAAACTACAACGCAGGGGCAGAGCATCATGTCCCTGATATGAGGAAGCATACGTTATTCTATAATTGTATCGGTGCGATAGACGGAACGCACGTTAGAGTTGTGCTGCCTCGCCACGAACGAGTCAACTTCATTGGCCGAAAAGGTATTCCAACACAGAACGTACTTGCAGCATGCGATTTCAATTTATGCTTCACGTTCGTGCTTGCGAGCACTGCTGGAAATGTGCACGATGCGCGTATTCTTAATCGTGCAATCTACAATCCAGAAATTCATTTTCCATTTACCCGCTCCAAGGAAGTATTATTTGGTGGACTCTAGTTTCGCTGTAGCTGGATCTATGTACCGTGGCTATAAAGGGCCAGGTCTACTGTATCATTTTCAGCAGTTTCGGGACGAAGCAACTGCTCATGTCCGAAGATTTCGGAACGCTTGGGAGCGGTTCAACTACAGGCACTCATCATGCAGAAATGTAATTGAAAGAGCATTCAGTGTATGAAAACAAAGATGGCAAATACTCGATCGTATGCCGAGCTATTTGTTTCAAACACAAGTTGCAGTTGTTGTAGCAACAATGGGTGTACACAACTTTCTTAGATGGGCTGGAGTCGTTGACGAGGTATTTACGAGAGTTGAGAAAGATCCAAGCGCTTCAGAAGTGGAGCTACCTAATGAGGATGACGAAATTGCAGCCGAAATGAATGAAATAAAAATGCCGCGCAACGAGTGGGACCGACTTCGCGATTATATGGCCCAACGGCAATCAGACGTTTGTAGGTGTAAAACCCGCATGTTGACGTTATTGGCACGTACTTTGTTCGGTGATAGTAGGAATCCCTTTCCGTAGTTAATTCCGTAAGATGATATATCGCTCGTAGAAAATTTTGCATTTCCAACTTATTTATTTTTGAGAAACCACGTGTCATAGAAAATTGGTGCTCCTAAAAATGGAAAAAAAATATGCGTCCAATTTTTTTGTAAACGCTTCAACTGTGTTATGTTAATATTGCAACGATAATTAGTACAACATCAAACAAAACAAGACATGACACGTACATGATTGGAAAAAAATGGGTAATTGCAACTTATATTTATCAAACAATTGGTAGGCTTTGAAAATTCAAAGTGAAGGAAAATGAATTAACCATTCATTCATGTCTCTCTATTTCTTCCCACTGCAATATTCTACCCATTTTCACGTGAAAAAAGTCTACAGTTTCATGCCAATTACTCACCCACGACAGCTGCCCTTTCATTGTCGGTCAATGGGGGTAAAAACGTAAATGATGGAGAGACAATATTACCATTTTCTATTATGCAGTGTAATGTGTCAGAAATTTTGGAAAATAGGTGAAAGACTACTGTGCAACGGTCATATAATTTCTAAAAATGAACTACAAATTTCTCTCAAACATACCCTAAATCTATTTCCAGCATTTAAACCATTGATTCACCATTGTTAAAAAGCTTCATTACAGACACTTCCTGTTCAACCATTTTTCTTTCAAATGGAACCCAGTGGTTGCGTTGTAAACTTTGTACCAACCATAAAGAAGATGCTCTATTTTCATTGTTCCCCTTAATCATTTTGCATTGCAGGTAAAATATAGAATCCAGATAGATCACCATAACTATACTGAAATAAGAATGTCTCATCATTTCTTAGCATTGGGCATAATTGCATTAGTGGGTATATAGACGCATACAGATACAAATGCAGACACACACATGAGCATGCGCAAGCACATATGTATTTAAGATTGGAGTACCTAAAATTGAGTTATGCAACTGTTGCCAAATCGTGTCATCATACTCTCTTACTATTTTTCAAATCCATATGCGTACCTATTCACGACATAAATACAGAATCACAAACACACACATGCATGGGTGTACATGCACACATGCACAAATATGCTTGAAATACCTGAATTTGAGTTGTGCAGATGTTCTTGCCAAATCGTGGGAGTAGGAGTGTTCCATTCATGTACTTGAGCTCCAAGGTTAGATGCAACTGCATAGACAGTTGCCTGCAAGATGAGATAGATTGAATCATTTCATGCAATACCAAAACTGCTGTGCTTTAGAATTTAGTTGAGAATGTGAGAAATAGAAACAAAAACTATTATTTCACATTCTGGCCACCACTCTATAGGAGAGAAACGACATACAGATTTTCCAACTCCAGCGTGCCCAGAGACGAGGAGAACGTTGCTATACGAATTTTTCTGCATCCAGTCCAGAATAATAGAAAAGATTCACAGAAGATAAATTGAAAATTATATGGAACCCTTCAAAGAAATACCATATCATTATATGACCACTTAATTAATGATTAAGGCTTGGTAGAAGCATAAAAGTGGAACAACACATTGCAATTCATTAATTTGATATATTCAATCAAGGATCCTTAATAAGATTTCTTAAAAGCTTTAGTGCTTCCCGAACTTGGACTTGTTATCTTATACAAGCTGTGTATGCCATTATGTTGCCATGAGAATCAGTGGATGAATAAAAATATATAGGAACTTCAAGAGCTATAACGAATACATGGGTTTTGCTAAAAGCAGCAAGCAGTTATGCTTAAAACAATAAGTGTGCTTAATGTTTATTAGGCTTATATAAATTCTATTATTAGCAGAAGAAAGGCTGAATTTGTGGCCCTTTAGTCTTTAATTAGGGGCAGTACTATTATTTTAATAGTTTGAATAGTCTTGAAATATGCTTAAGGGTCTCTTTGTTTATTGAAGAAGTTAACGTGAAGTCGGTCTAGAGTTTTGTATTCAATCTTGTTACTTGTTCTAGTCAAAGAAGTCTTTCAAGTTTATAGACCTCATGTATTTATGTTATCATGAGGATTTTGTAATTAATATGTCATGTTTTATGCCTGAAAAGAGTTCTTGATTCATTGTTCCGCTAAAACTGCCTATTCTCCTATTCCTCTTTCTTCCTGATAATTGCACTTCTCTATACAACCCCCAGATTCTTATCCTAAAATAAATACTAAACAATCCAACTTTTGCAAATGACAAATCAATCAGCATAATGCCCAATCCAAGGGAAACAACATAGCAAATCCATATATTGTAAATCATTCTTATTTCAATTAATAGAAGGGGTGCACAGCTCCCGAATCTATAGATAACAGGTATACATTGGCACGAGGTTTGAATTCTCTACATGGTGACCTCCATAAAAGAGATGATTGTTCACTTATAAAACCTTTCTAGAGAGCGAAAGGACAAAAAATTATTTGCTTTAGAATGGAATAGGAACATTAAGGGAAGAGGTATGCCAGAAGTGAAGGGGTCTATAATCAAAGCTTGAAAAAATCATGGATTCATCACCAAGCAATAGAACCGAAGAAGTTATGGAGAGGGGATTGGGTCTATACAATATGCTAAACTATCTAAACTTTTACCAATCACAAAAAATAAATAAATGAAAGAAACAAGAAGACAGTACCACGGAAGTTCTCAGTCTCTCCTCAAACCATGTTTTAACTTCATCAACCTGAAAAAACAAGGATGAGAAAACAAACACTCATTAAAGTCGTTACAGATTTATTTTGAGTTAAAGGTAGATACCTTCTTCCTCTGAACAGCTAGCTCCTCCAAAGATGTAGGCTTATATTTATCTACCCAAAGGCCCGTGTTCCTTCTGGAACCTATTTCATATCCAATTCATTCAGCATGAGTCAGAAATAAAAAAACACATGTTAAGGTATCCTGTTCAGCAGGACTATGACAGTATCATTCAAAGTAGTTGGAAATATTTACATATAGGTATTTTACAATTTTCTAGCAAAAGCAACTCAATCAAAATTTTAACCAAGTCTTAAACATGTGTTTACAAATGTGCAACAGAATATGCAACAGTAAACTGCAACTGGAAGGGGCAGCATGGAAGATCCATATTGCAATTAGATGCATGTAACCACAAGACACAGCTATATGAGTAATATTAACGGTGAAAAATCCTAACAAGAGAAGGTATAAGCCTCCATAAACATAGGGATACAGAGAAAAAACAAGTTCAGTTCACAAGGGATGAGAAAATGCGATCTCAGTACTGAAAACTCTAAAAATAGCGTACCAGAAGACGCCTTGAACTGAGGGAACCCTTGATCAAAATCCTCACAAAAACGTTTAATCTGCAGTCAGTAACCCCAAGTTTCACTAATAGATCCCCATAGAAAATTACATAAGTAATACCAAACATATAAAGAGTTCAACACAAAATTAACACTTACAACAATAACAATTTACACATTAAATCCAACAAATGCGGACCCATCAATTTAAACATGCATACTATATAAACATCATCAAATGATGAAATTTACCACATCAAAACCGTCGGCATTGGAGTCTTGAAACACCCGTGAACGAGAATCAGAAAGTGGGGTCCTATTAACCCTCTTGCGGGTTCTTCTAACTGGAACTGATTTCGAGTAGCTGGAATTGGTTTTCAATATGAAGTCTTTATCTTCTTCATCGTCGGACGATGAGATGACGATGGCAGAACTCCTTTTCACCTTCCCCATTGCACGAAAAAATTGGGGAAAAATAGGAAGCAAAATTAAAATTCCCGCTCTTTATAATCAAACAGTAAGTAAAATCGAATCTACGAACTGCTACCGTTACTTGTTAAGATTCAAACGGTAAATAGGAGAGTTCCATTGGCCGATGTATGAATAATTGGCAGTAGTAACTTTGGTGTTCTTCGGCGCAATGGGGGTTTTGAAAAACGCGGGTGTTTATCGGCAAATGTGCAGAGCGTACCCAAGAAGCTGAATTGAAATTTTGGGCTTATTTGAACAAGGGAAAATGTTCCAGATTACTTGAAAACTTTCCCATTTGATTGTTAGTTACTCGTTATTTTTAAAATACATTTTTTTTATTTTTAATCACATTTTTCAATAAATAATATTATGACCCTATCTGTCTTGATTTTTTGCTTGATTTTAAGCATTTTTATAGCCGTTGCAAGGGCACTTAGCCGCAATTCTTGACTATCCATCTTTCATATGGAGCCTACTAACGATCAATGAATCAATTATAATCCAAGGAGAAGCAGCATCAGGCAGGCACTATATGTAAGCTCAAAATTTTTTCTTATTTTTAACTACACATTATCTATCAAATCATTATTTCAAAATACATTTTTTACAAATAATGTGGATCAAACGTACTCCTATTATTTTTAAAATACATTTTTTTCTTTTTTATTTTTAATCACATTTTTTTCAGTAAAATAATATTAGACGCAAATTCTAAAAAATTCTTATTTTTTAACCACATATTCTTCATCAATCTACTATTTAAAAATGTATTCTTAATCAAATAACGGGGCATAAACAAAGGCTAATTAAAAAACCGTTTTATACCCTTCTTACTTCTCAGTATTTAAAATAAAAAATAATGAAAAAGAATGTTCATCTTTCCCTGTTGTGTATAGAATAATGTTACATAAAGCATGTTAGAGCCTCATTTCTATTTTTATTTTTTGTCCAAATATATTTTAGAATAGTATATTGATGAAAAATATATAGTTAAAAAATAAAGAAAAATTTTAAATTTGTGTGTAATATTATTTTATTGAAAATTTTGTAACTGAAAATAAGAAAGATGAAGGTGTATTTTTGAAATATTGAAGACCAAATAAGGACATAATATCAGTAGTGCTTAACATCCGTCAATATGTGAGTCCACTTGAATTCATCAAATTAACAAAAAAAATCTTAATTTCATTTGACAAGTTTAATTGGGCATCACTATTACATAAATTTGTGTTAAATAGCATTACTCATGTTAAAAACTGGCACACTAAGCACCGTGTTCAACTTATGCTAGGTATCAATTGCATAATACAATAATTTGTAGATAAATAACAAATTTAAATTCGAGACCCACTAATTAATTGACATGTTATGTCATTGGTGATTAGCATCAGATGAACACGAATACTTTATAAATCATTTTTCTACTCGTGTGTGTATATAGTTGTTAATGGTTTTCTTGTTTCGATAGTATGGCTCGAAAACATAGTTTCTTTTAAAACTCAAAATTATTTATTGAAATCACAATTTTATTTTTTACTTTTCATTGTCTGATGAATAATCTTTAGATTTCAATATTTTTGGCTTACTTTTCTTTATTTGAATTTTCTGGAAAATGTGGAATTTTGATTATGCATATGGCACTCCATTTTTCATATTTATGGAGGGCTTTCGGAGTTCAAGCTCTCCTCGCGATTTTTGTCTAATCTTTGATTTTACTGTTAATTTTCTCTAATTTATACATAAGTAATGATATTAATTAAAATTAGGGGAATTTTCAAAGGAGCCAAAAATTAATAGTGGAATAGAAAATATGTCCAATTTTTTAAAATGGTTATTATACCCCTGTTTGCTCACAATTTTTTTACATACATCTATTTTTGTACTTAAAATCTCAAACTTTTTTACGTTGCATTTTTATCTTTAACACTCAATTAATTAACATATTTTGTCTCTGATTGAACCCTTTTTGCGTCAATCAATTACGATGCAGTTCTAATCTCTTCGATCTTTTATTACAGGACATGCCACGATAACATTTGAATTTTTTCTCCCATTTAGTCATGCAAATTCAGGTCTTCATTTGCATACTTGTTATGCCTCATTCAACGAGATGGATTGCACAACAATCAGATAAGAAAGAGCAAAAAATCACTTAAACCCACACTTCACGTTGCTTGTCTTCCTAGGCCTAACCAAATCGATTGGTTAGGCAATTAGGTATTATGGTGAGGTGATTTAGGCAACTCGTTCGAAGTGACATCACTTCATCCGAAGTGTAACATCCGAGGTGAAGGAGTTAAAATGAAGTCTCTCTTTTATTGCCCCTGTTTGACACCTATTTTTTATTTCATTCTCATTCTCATTTTTCTACAGTACTCATTTCTAACCACACATTCTTCAAATAAAATAATATTACGCACAAATCAAAAACTTTTTATCACTTTTCCATCACACATTCTCACATCAATCACTATTCCAAAATTTCTATTCTCCTCAAAATTAGATTCAAACACACCCCAAATAAGGACATAATATCAGTAGTGCTTAACATCCGTCAATGTTACATAAATTTGTGCTAAATAGCATTACTCAAATGAAAAACTAGCACACTAAGCACTGTGTTCAAATTATGCTAGGTACCAATTACATAATACAATAATTTGTTGATATATAACAAATTTAAATTCGAGACCCGCTAATTAATTGACATGTTATGTCATTGGGGATTAGCATTAGATGAACACGAATACTTTGTAAATCATTTTTCTACTCGTGTGTGTATATAGTTGTTAATGGTTTTCTTGTTTCGATACTATGGCTCGAAAATATACTTTTTTTTAAAACTCAAATTTCTTTATTGAAATCATAATTTTATTTTTTATTTTTTACTTTTCATTATCTCATGAATAATCATTAGATTTCAATATTTTTGGCTTACTTTTCTTTATTTGATTTTTTCTCGAAAACGTGGAATTTTGATTATGCATATGGTGCTCCATTTTTCATATTTATGGAGGGGTTTCGGAGTTCAAGCTCTCCTGGCGATTTTTGTCTTATCTTTGATTTTACTGTTAATTTTCTCTAATTTAAACATAAGTAATGATATTAATTAAAATTAGGGGATTTTCAAAGGAGCCAAAAATTAATAGTGGAATAGAAAATATGTCCAATTTTTTAAAATGGTTATTATACCCCTGTTTGCTCACAATTTTTTTACATACATCGATTTTCGTACTTGAAATCTCTTACTTTTTTACGTTGCATTTTTATCTTTAACACTCAATTAATTAACATATTTTGTCTCTGATTGAACCCTTTTTGCGTCAATCAATTACGATGCAGTTCTAATCTCTTCGGTCTTTTATTACATGACATGCTACAAATACAATAACATTTGAATTTTTTCTCCCATTTAATCATGCAAATTCAGGTCTTCATTTGCATACTTGTTATGCCTCATTCAACGAGATGGATTGTGCAACAATCAGATAAGAAAGAGCAAAAAATCACTTAAAAGCACGCTTCATGTTGCTTGTCTTCCTAGGCCTAACCAAATCGATTGGTTAGGCGATTAGGTATTACGGTGAGGTGATTTTAGGCAACTCGTCCGAAGTGACATCACTTCATCCAAAGTGTAACATCCGAGGTGAAGGAGGTGTCACAAGTTGTTGCAATGCATTTTCGAGGCGATATGTATTTACTTCACAAGGCATCTTCATAAAAACCGCTTCATTTTAAAAATCTTTTGTATGAAGACATTTCATATGTCTGACAAATTTGGTAACTAGCAACAGGCATTTTTCAGTCAACTTTTCAAGTGATGGGTCTGGACGTGTGATAGTCAATTTTCAGTTCATTTAAAGTCACCATAGACCTAGAATAGCTGAAATTGATACCTATCAAGTGTCGTCTGTGAATATTTGAGATTTAACTACGTGTCAGACAACCAATCGATATTACTTATTCCTTCCTAGTATATAAGCTCATACTTGATGTCTTCAAAATGTAAGACAATTCTACACACATCTACAGTATTGCTTGGTATTTTCTCTTCAACCCAAATCTCATTTACTCACGTCCGTTGCTTCTTCCATACCATAATATCTCTCACTGTTGATTGACGGAATATGGTACTGACTATTATATTCCTCGCTCAAGGAATTCGGTGCCACACTCTTGCCTCCCATGCTAGTACTTCCTTGGCAATGCCTTATTAGATCGATTGTACTACTCTTCATTTTATTCAAGTATATTGACTGAATTTATTGTTTTATCGAAATGTAAAAATTATAAACTGCAATATATACGATAATGCATAGCAAATCAAGAAATGAAATTAAACTCAAGTTACAAATATATGAATGAGTTATCTAACATTAATTCGAGCAATCAAATTTATAACCTCTTCTTAAAATAATTTTACTCCCTCTAGTGTTGAAAGTTAAAACAACACTTCATTCGCATATGAACCAATGAACATCTTTTCACTTCTATCACCTTTGACACGAACATTGAAGCAAAATTTTTTATACAAAAAGGAGAGCTTTATTTGTAAAAATTAAAGGGATTTTTCTCGAATTAAATACTTCATAATGGGTCCTATATATAATTTTTTGACGTGGTCATTAGTCAAGTCTTTCATAAATATTGTAACTTTTAATTAAAAGAAGATAGTTATAAATGAAAATACTTAAGTATAGAAAGGGTAAAATATTTCGAAAGAAGGATACTATTCTTGATCATAAGTTTTTAAATGATTCCTATTTAGCCTCAATTTTTAAAACTCGTCTTTCTTCAAAATAATTTTTAACTACACCATTTATGGGGATTATAACTGATGTGGTCACTATGGCACCTCGAGCATGAGGACTGTCAGAGTTCCCCATCCTCAATTATAGGAACTGTAACGTCCCAATTTTCAATAACACAAGGCGCTACTAAGGTCGAAATATCCTGTAAATAAGTATTCTCAATAAAAGCCAAAATGCGTAAATATATATTTTTTTCCAATTATAGTAAATTAGAAATAAATGCGGAACGTCATTTGAATAATTTACTCATCCAAAAGTCAATACCAAATATAATAAGTAAAATGCCACAATTTTCAAAAATACTGAAATATGAGATTTAAGACAAAATGGAAATCAACTATTAAAATACTTGCTTCAAAAAAATCTATAAATTAAATTGTCTATTGTTTAATCAATATTGCCTCGCTCATTACCTTGCCTTGCCGAGCTCCTTAACCTGAAATAGTGGATAAATATTGGGGTGAGCATAACGGATTATACTCAGTGGGGAAACAGCAATCAGTCCCAATTAAATCTAAACATGAAATTAAATTATGAATATAATACAAATACAACATACTGTAGAAATATGTACTGTGGGACACCCCCCAAGGACCCAATTTCGATCCCAGACCTATTTACGGTCCCTGACAACATGTTATAAGCGCATAACAATTTTGCACTGTGGGACACCCCCAAGGACCCACTTTCGATCCCGGACCTATTTACGGTCCCTGGCAACCTTTTCATATGTATAAGCATTATATCACAATAAAAATCACACATCAAGAATTAACAT